CTCGGTCGCTGTCTGACGAAGAATTTCATTTCCACGCACGAAGTTTCCCAGAGTGAATTTCGGTCTACAAATGAAAGGTATGTTGGGGTTCATTAAAGAAATTTGATTTCAACTTGTCTTCTTTGACTTCGACGTCGAATACCTCCTCCTAGTCACCATTTGATACGTAAGTTAAATTTCATTTCAGCTGTTACATGCAGGCGTGCGAGGACTAAGGAAACAGCCGCCTGCGCATATGGTTGCTCGGAATTGTTGAAAACTACGCGGTCAAACCAAGAGTCTTTTGAGTCACGCCCCACTGAGACCGGAGTGAAACTGTCGCGACTCGAAATGGCTGATAGAATGGATCAGAATGTCTCCACAATGGGTTCTATTGAAATACCGAAGTCCACATACAGGTGGCAGTTGAACAGTGATGCCGTCATATCTTCCTTTGAGACATCGTTGTGTATCCACCGACCATGTTGCTTTGGTTGGCTCGAGTGTCCAAAGCTCAGTTGGTCGCGTCATGAATGTGTAGCTAGAGCCAACATACAGCAGACAATTCTCATGGGCGGCTACCACAGAAAAAAGGCGGAGACGTGTAACTTTGTACCCTCAAGCGACTTCTGTTTTCACCGTAGTTTACGGGAACCATTCTACCTGCAAGGCAGTGTGGATAGACGTAGCACAGTGGAAGCCGTCATGGTGTCCATTCAAAGGTGGTTCCACAAGAGTGATGGCAGAATGAATGCGAGAATCAGAAAAAGATGACGTTCCCCATAGGTATTTCTCAGTTTTTAATTTTACTCATTTCCAGATTACCGTCGACCAGAACAAGGAGAACAGACCCGACGGAGAAAGTACACAGCGAAATACTTCCGGTGATTCTTGCGGTATTCGGGTCGTATAATATGTATGTCCACAAATTGTAAAGACACTTTGTATAAAAATTAAATAAGTGTTTTATAAAATTTAACTGCTTTCCAATATCGTAAGTCTGAATTAAAGCAAGTATGTTGTTTATTGTAACAAGCTGTGTAAATAGTAGGTGTTTATATCTGATGGCTATCACTTATGGTTCACTGCCTGGTTGTAGGCGTGCAGTCAAGGCCTAAAAGAGCTACAGAAACTTTGGGCGCATTGCGAAAACTTAAAAGCAGACTGTAGACCACTGTCTCACGTTCTCCAATGTACCCGAATTTTCTTGAAGCGAAAACTTTGCAGTGCGCCAGAAAGAAATGCTAGCTGGGATGTTGCATCAACTAGCGATTTTTGGCGTTCCCAAACTCAACACCAACAGTTAGGAAAGACAGGTTAGTGATACATAGCTCTAAATGAAATGTATTCCAGAAACCAAAGCTGTGGTGACCATCTTAGGGTCACAAGTGATGATGGACGAGCTGTTCGCTCCCTGAAGAATTAATGATTCATTTGGGTTCTTTTTTCATCGGTGCAATTACATCTGTGTTTACACCAACATGAACTGGAAATTACATCTTAATCTCTTCACCTCCAAGACAGCATAGACGACTGTGGTAGTCACATCTACCGGAGAGAGAGTTCTTAACGTTCATAAAGATGTACGTGGAGACCTATTGGAAGCACTCGCTAAGAAAGCTATGGAAATGGATTATGAGGTACGAACGTGTCTGGCATCAAGCAGTATATTTGCTGTAGCCATAACAATCATAGTATTAGAGCTTAACTGTCAAATGTCCAGGTCTAACTACACTAGACTTCACGATGTCCTTAGAAGATTTTCAGTAACTATGTCCAATAACCAACGCAAAAAACCAGAACACAAATTGGCGAGTCAAGAATCCTTTTTTCTTGCACCAATATAGGACCAACCATAAGGTTATTGTACACAAAGTCTGAGAATAAATGTCATAACAATAAATCACAGTAATACTTCTGATAGTTTTTCTCCGTCTTCCAACGAACAGCGGACGATGGAACGGTGACTGCAGTATCGATGACTTCCGCCAAAATATAGATTTTGGTTTGAGTAAACAACCATGAATTGATCGTTCAATCTTCAACTACATTGGCACTAACACCACAAAAGGAGGGAGGGTGGAGCACGCTGATCAGTAGATATGGTGGTGGTCTCTAAGATGAACCGCCCCATTCTGCAGGAACAGAAATATGCAATTCGATGGCTCGAGATTTTTATGAGGGCTTAGATTTTTGTCTTGAAAAAGATAATAATGATCGTCTGGACAGATCATGCTTCTGCCTTTAAACACATACTATTCGCTCAGCCTATTGTTGAGATGCAACCACGTGGGCTCTGCACAAATTTTTGGGCCATCTTATAAATTAACCTGCTCTCCATTGTCAGATCTTTAAATACCACATCACAATGTCTTATCTCATTCATTTTCTAATAATGTCTTTACTTGATCCTCATTATATTCCATTAAACCTAACATTTTATAGCTCTTTATGAATTTGATTCGACTTATTCTGTTCTGACTATTGCCACTTGTACTATTGAGGGTGGCGTTGTTGTGACGTTGGTTATTAGTGTGTGCCGTGGTGCGACTTCGCACGTTTTGGTTGCTAATACTATTGGCAGTGGGAAGAGTGGGTTTATTTATCCTGCCATTGTTATCGTTGGCATGATGTGGGGTCTTATTTTCCTTATCGTGTACATTTTCCTCAGAAGCATTCGGTGAGTGAATTTGATTTTTCGCGGCCAGTGACACATTTTGAATACGTGCACCAAATACACAAAAAAGGTGTGAAATAAAAACGACCAGCTTGAGAATAATTGTATTAAAGCCCAAAGTGGACATCATGACAGTAAGACCTATATGGGTAGCATCATACATTGCGAATGAACGTTGTCAGCCTAGAAACTATATAGTTTCCCACTGTATTTCCTTTATGAATGCAGGGTGAGGATATACGCTATAACCTGTCATATTTTCCGCACCTCAGGTTTTCCCGTCTTTCATTGGCTAGAACAGTGGCGGTCAATTGGATTTTGAATTGTCCTGGGTAGGTGCTGTCGGGTGCTGTTTTGGTGTGGTTATGTTTGCGTCGTTTGCCAGCATATGTGATGAGTATAAACGTAAATTTGACTATTCTAGCACTTTGTTTTTCTTTATTTGCGCATGCACTAGGCTTGGTTTATCATACGCTCCGTTGTTTGGCCTATTGGTTGCTTGCGATGTCAACGAACCGGTGGGTTCTTGTGCTTTTCTGTAATTTAGGTTATACGTGCGGTATTTTCTTGATGGTTATTGATCATTCTTGTATTTCAACCTCGTTTTTTTAAAATTATCTTGGAATAGTTGTGACATAGATGGATACTTATTGATAAATCTATTTCAGTTCGTTGCAGGTAGTCAATTTGAGCGAAAGGATCGCAGACTTAAATGGAATTTTCGGTGAATTAATACTTGGAAGGCGTTTATTCAGCTGGGATGAATTTGAAAAGTCATTAGCAGAATTTCAAAAAGTGAGGAAGTGCAGTGTAGAAGGAGATCAGAGTAATGTCTTTAATATTCTCATTTTCCAGATTTAATTTCTATTTCACAGTTATAAGCAGATTGGATGCTAGTGTCAGTCAATATCTACAACGTCGTTGGATGCATCGACGAGAATTGTAGGCTGCATGTTTCAGAGACCATATGCTGACTTTTGGGAATGATACAAATAATCGAGTAGAAAGTTCGCACGAGCAAATGAAGCGTTACTTGCAAAAATCAGATAGTCTGCATAAAAGCATGCTGAAGGTGCATAAATGGTGTAAATAAAGTTTTTCAAGAATACAGCAGGGGGCGATGATTTCTCAGTCGCGATGCTTCCCGCATTCCTGTTCACAACGTGTAATCCCAATCCTTCGACCACTGACACCATACGCCACGAGGAAGGTAATCCGTGAATACGAAAGGCGACGATGGGCTTCTCTTGAGGTTGAAGCCTTCGATTATGTATTTTTCCAAGATAATGGGAATAGAGTAGAGGTCGATCTGAGTGCTTGTACGTGCACATGTATGACGTTATTTCCGTTTTTACGACTCCATTTTTAATGCGTGCCGACCTAACCTTAATTAACTGAAAATCTTATATACTGAAATCTGTAATTTTCATAACCGTATTCGTGTGTACAATGCCTTCACTGGAAACAGGACACAAGCACTACCATCATTAAACCTGCAATATTCTGTTCATAATTATCTTAACGTTTTTTGTTCCACCTTTTGTAGTTAACAATGTGCTACAGAATTGTAAACAATGGACATGGTCACGCAGCTTGTTTGCATCTCAAAGTACGTCAACAGTTGTCCCTCGAAATCAACGTGACATATTGAAAACCAAAAAGAGTATTATCAATGCGGGCATTACGAGAATTAGTGACAAATTTGGAGAAGTTTTTGCCAATACTTATGCAGACGGAGTAATCGCAGGAATCAATCGCATTCTTAATATGTAAAAAAACTAAGTTTGTATCATAGTTAAAATAGACTTTTCATGTAAATCTTGTTGTCTTTCAATTCATGTGTTCGCTTTGTGGGCACGGCATGTTAGACCGGTGGTCCCTAGGACTTTAACTACTAACTGTACGTAAGTGTAATTGTGTAGGAACGATGTAGGTCGTCATACGTGTTAAATTATAAGTATTTTAGTGAAATTACATGGATACGTCTCATAGTCATATGCAAGTCTTTAGGGACAAATGACAACAATAGGCAGAACTTAGGCACTGCATTCGAGTTCCAGTTCGTATACGGTTAGGTGTATTAGAAAGTATTGCATTGCTAATGTTTCACTTAAAGCGTGATGTCAATCCATATGACCAAGGCTGTTAACACGTAGCGTAAATTGAAGTCTACACGAGACAAATTATTGAATTCGTTGAGCTGTAGCAATGGTAGTCAGATTTACATTATACTAAAATATGACACCAATTACTTTGTCAGGTCTCATTCATAAATCATGCCTGCATCTACTAATCATGACAAATATAGCTACACTCAGATAGAATAAGAAAGGTCTGGTAAGCAGGATGTTAAATATATTTAGTGAAAAATAATAACAAGCAAATGTCTCTACGTAGTTGTCTGTCGTAATAATTTGGGCAATGTCGAATCGCTGTGACCGGGTTGACTGACGTTACCGGATATCTGCAAATAAGTAAACAAAGTGTTTTTAAATCCCCGAAGTGAGAAAGAAGTAATATTAACGTCAAAAGCCTTATATTCGCCTACCTTTGTTGCAAAAGGTTCATTCTCCTTTCTCATTCTTCGTTCATGACAGCGTTCTTCTGTGGTTTTCACTGTCACACGTATTGTTCATCTTCTAAAGGATAGCAGCAGACAAATAATAATTTCATATGTCGTATAAACGAATGTTTACAAAGAATGCATGCCATTTCTACAGGTGCAATAAGTTATGTTATAAACTGCAGTCTTTAAGTATCATAAATTAGTGCCTTTTCAAAAGTTTAAATCGTTCAACCATTGTACGAGTAATTAGAGCCGGTTACGATAAGAGTTAAATTGTAAACCATTCACAATGAACACAGTACAATTGGCTAAGTGTTATGTCCTTGGAATATAAGAATACATTTGCAATGTTTAATGCAAACCATATCGGTGTAAGCATGGAAAATATGACGTTTTCGATGAAAATACAGCTTTGTTCAAACGTTGGTGCTGTTGTGTTTCTAGTAAAAGCAACCAGACTGTAAGCAAGCAACTAATAGGCACAAAGGGTCGTCTCAGCTTTAATAAAGGCCTATCCAGCTGAGATAAAATGGAGTGTAATAGTGGGTAAATAAAAAGACTATCGTGAAGTAGATAAGTGATATTTCAGTGACAGGTAAACTGAAACATCTGCAAGCTTACAGTTTGTAAGACAACCTGACATGTAAGATCTCTCACGAATTTCTGTAGGGCCTGTGGGGTACCATGGGTGGTTTGGCGTCATTCTGAACTTTGGAAAGATGATTTACAAGTGCAAAAGGTAATAATCATCGAAACTGCAGTAGCATTTTCTAGCCGTCCAGAATTTTTTCCTTTGATGCAGTTTCTTATCAACAGTTTGCAGTATTCATAGTGAGTTTATAGGAACCTTCATTTTATCATGATTTTCAACAAATTTCCCTTGACTCACAGAAGCAGGCAGTAACCCCATACACTCAAGCATTGTAAACAAAACACCACAAAATGCTTACAGATAACTTGTTCAATAATAACTGCTTTAAAGATATGAGCCATAAGTGCATCTTCCATATCTTTCATAGCCACAATTATGTCATTAAGGATCTCAGAATATCTTAGTGATCTGAAACAAAATAATCATTGAGATTGATATAACTTATGTAACAGGTGTAGTAGTTGTATGACACAGCTGCTAGCTACTCATCGACAGAAAGCTGATACTCATTTTAAGTACTCTGACATTTGAGAAGGACTATTTATACTCTTCTTCGGGACGCGATGAACACTGATGTCAATATATTCTGATGCCATTTTATGCACTGAGCAATTAAGGCCTTCTGAAATTCCATGTGCAAATGTAAATTAAACTATTATCACATCTTGGCCTAAGCAGTTTTAACTGGGAACTTCATCAACATAGATATAATCACCAGGAAATTCAGCAGCCTGTCTCATTCATCACGCGATATCGTCCATGTGTTATGGAATATTTCAGTCATCACGGATGATAACAGAAGTGTTTAACATCCTGAAAACACACGTTTAACCTATGTCTGCGGGCTATTTCTCCTTTATATGCCCGATTCTCATAGATTCACTGGAATGACAACAACCATTGCCTGTAGTCTATTTGCAACCCTAAGATCTGAAACAACTCGAAAAAACAAACCGTCAACGCACTATAATGCAAATAATAGTCTTTCCATGCAAACTTACTTAAAAAGGATGATTTTTTTATTAATAATTCGTCCGAGCTATAACATACAATTTTACGCTTTACTACGAACAAAATACAGCAAAATACTGCCTTCTGGCTACAGAAGTATAAAACTAGTCAAATATAATCTATTTCCAAAAAATTGGCGATTATAACGCCTGTAACCGTGAGCGCGGTAACCAATAAAATTGTGCGGAAACACCTGGTTATAGCCTACATCCTCACACCGAGTTGAAAACGAAACGAAGTCGATTTTCCCGCGCAACCCGGAGGATTACTGTACAATTCAATAACTATACGGCCTGGTTCAGACAATGAGTGTATTTATATATATCAACTATTTAGCTGTTGAAACATTATTAACTAGTAAACAATCTGCTATTTGATATTATAATATACTTGATCGTGTCCATAAAAACGGCATGCATTTTCATGTGAATTTATATGTTTGTATGAAAATATACATCATTATTATAACTGAGAGTCCAATTTGTTGCTAATAAATATACCGTCATGCCAAGATGCGGCCAATAAGGATGTACATCTGGTAGTATTTCCAGTCTTATTTGGCGTCTGAAATCTAAATCGTCTAGGTGGCTGCCTCTGCGTATCTCGCATGGGCGGCTTTCCCAGTAGTAGTGACCAAAACCCAATAATTTTGGGCTGGACTCATGATACCCTGTTCCGAATATACCAGGAACTTTCGCTAAGTGGTGTGTAGTATAAAATTATGTTTCGACAACACCGAAAGGCCATACAACTTGACAAATTCTGAAGTGGTATCTAACAATGACAATTTGAAGGACATTAAAGACATTCGTCAATTCAAATGAACCTCAGTTATTTTGACCTTAGTGATCAGTTCGTTAATGTGTGCTGATTGATACAAGTGGTGGATAGTTAGATTTTCAAGGAGTAAGGGCAAAGCTTCTGCGATGCTAGGAGTGACTGTGTATCCGTATGTTCTCTTCTTACTGTCATTAACAAATACACCCTTGAACAGTGGTAAGTACTGTAGTCTCCACTCACTGGCTGGGTCTGTAATGCGAATAACCTGGGGCGACCAGGTTAAAGAGTCAGCAGATGCCGTAGTCAAGGAGCAAATCTAATGGAATAGACAGCCACATAACAACCATAGGCGCTCTTTCCAGCTGAAGCCAATGGAAAACGATCTCAAAGTTGTCTAAGCAGCGTAACCTACTGATAATGCAAATACAGAAATAACTCTGCAGTGCTATGTGGTGGCGATGAAATCAAAAAGTCTGTCAGGCCAAAATCGATTTGACAAATCACCTGAGATTCACTAGGCACGTTTCTAACAAGGTGGCATGTAAACTGCTCCCGCTATTATTGCATTATGTCAAACACATTTCCTGTAGGATATTCCAAGGTCAAGTAGTCGCTCCACAGACAGCCCTGACTTCACTCATGTGGAGTCGCAGCTGTAGGACGACGTATTATTACCAACACTATCACACAACAGCAAAGGGAAGCACTAAAGTTGCGGATCAACCGAAACCGAAGACAGACAATGAGGATTAGATAAATGGAAGGTATGAAAATGTTAGAACTATGATTTACATGGTTAGTTATCAGGAAATTGACCGGAATGCTCGAGTGATTATTGACATCGTAAATGGATTAATCATAGAGGTATTTTCGGATCAACTATTTTGCCGAATCGACATATTCAACTGAATCAGTGAAAGACAACATGACAGGTATCTTTCGTCAGTCTGCGTGCCCACACGTAGTCAAATAATTCCACTCCAAGACTTCTTTGTTACTAAAGTTTGTTCGCTTTTGATGGTATCTTATAACCAGTATGTAAGTCACTAGGTGAATTATCAACAATTTAACGGTTAAGTACAGATGTGCTTTTACCACCTATTGCTTCATGACATTCTGAGGAGCAGCCGGGTCAGGTTTTCGAAGGGTCACTTAACAGTTCCTCTTTCCTCCCTTCGACATTCCTAATGCGGTTAACCGTTCTTTTCATATGTGTATTCATTTTGAGAAGTTTACTGTTATTAATAACATTAACCGTCTCTTTCAGTCAAATCAAACCGCTGACAGTGTAAAGAATAATTTAACCACAGCAGCACCATGATCATAACACTTTTCACAAAACTTTCTTCCAGATATGATAGTGTGGGAAGTGAGATACAACTATCACGTTCAAGAGGGAGGGTGCCACAGTCCATAGCATTTATTTTTGCTGTTTCCCCACGCACTGTCGAATAACTAATGTCTCTGAGATCCCACATGGTTCTTTACATAATTAGTATGGAAATAATAATATATTCCCATTTTGCATGCGAGGGACGCCAGTTTACAAGCATCATCAATATGATAAATTGGATATACGATTAGTAAGCATATTTAATAATAATGATTCAATAAAATACATATTTTTCCCACCCGTGTAGGACACACCAATTGTACAGCCATGGATAAGTACTATTTAAATTACATAAATTTGATTTATGGTGAAATTACATGGTTGCCGTCATTTTTGTCTTTGGTTTGTAGGAACAATATGATAGCTAGTCATTCAATGGAGCACATCAAGGAATATTGAAATACTGTTTTCGCAGTAACAGAAAAGCCCGGGTATGCTTTGGATGGATTACAAATACTTGGGAAAAAATAAAGCTTGAAGTCATTTCCCAATATAAATTATAATGTATGTATTAATATGTATGTCTTCCTCGGACCACTGGTTAATTTCTGATAAAAAGCCATTTAGTTTGGAGCAGTCACTTTGACATTTGACAGGCAAAGATACAGTCAGGTCGTCAGCATATTTAACAAAATTAATAATAACATGAAAACGATAAACACTTATTTATTAACTACTATTACTACTACTAAGACAACTACTTACCGAAGCATTAGATTCATTAGTTGTATACCTTCACCTTTTAAAAATCTATCTTTATTTTCAGTTAACATTAATGAACTACATAGGCAGTCAAACAGATTGAGCATTAATTCAATTTCTTCACGACTATTAGGATCATGTCGTTTATAAACAGATAATTGTTGCAGGAGGATATCAATTCCATCAACTTCACCAAGTTGACGACGATTAGCTTCATCCATTTGAAGAAGTATAGAGAGTAATTCACTGACATACAATTTATTCTTATCAAATATAGGACGTCTTTGTAAACGTCGAAGAAGCCAAGCAAACAGACCTTGATTTGCCATAATAACATTCATATCTGGACGAATTTCTAGTAAACTTTCAATAATTCCTTTTAAAAAATCAAAACAAAAACAAAACGTCAAAAATAAATACAGTGAAATAAACTAAAATCATCTTCAAGTGTTGGCTTGTCTCAGGATTTCACCATGAACTGATACCGGTTAGAGGACCAGTGTAGAACCACCTAGGAGTACTGGACAGCTGTTTCGTCCTAGTTTCAATAAGTGATGTCATCTTCGGTAGCTTAGACATGTATTTCAATTGTCAGCTCAGCAGCTTCCATGCCGTTAACTGTTTGCTAGTCCTGGGTCTGTTTCAAAAAAGCGAAGAGATGATCAACCCATGACGTCGTGCCATGGAATGAAGTAGGTTTCATTTGACTGTACGTCTATTGGAGCATTAAGACTCCCTGCGTGGGATGCAAGATATTAGGAGAGTCAGTGGCTCAATACACCATCGAATATTGCTCAAAATCATTATCAATGTCAAAAATGCTCTTAGCCCTTTTCCCATTCTATTTCTAAAAGATATGTGAAGTAACAAAAGCTGTTTTAAACACTTTTGATAAGTACTTTCACTTGTTTCATTATGTTGTCCTTTGAAAGTTTCAAAACACTTGACTTCTTCATAAAATTCCATTTTCTTATCTTGTGTAGAGCGCCTTTCGATGCTTATATTGTACGTGGTTAGTGTTTTAAATCAACAAGCACATTCATCACCCAAATCACAGCTCCATTAAGCATCACATATTGAAAGTAATCAGTAGAATAAACTCTCAAAGTGTTATACAGTAATGTTTACTGATGACGTTTCGAGCACAATTTATTGCTCATAATCATATCAAGGTAATCACACGACTTCCTAAATTCATTTATATAGTTCCATTGTTTTTCTCTTGATTTTCACTTGATTTGATTGGTAATAGTATTTTCCATATTTCAGGTATGAGTGACGAGTCATTCCTATTGCATGTGTTGGGTGTAGACTCGATGAACAAGGATTCAGTAATCAACCTCTCTCTCCACCTACCTAGATTACTTTTTAGAATTTTAACCCTCTCCCACCCTATTGTGTGGTTGTGTGTTAGCGCATGCATTGCAATTGCTGAGCTTTTTTCCAAATTATTTATCTTCTCGGGGTCAACCATTCTTACCTTAGCTAAATTTTTATGCTCTGACAATCTGACTACCCCTGACCTACTAGTTTGACCTATGTAGTTGACCTCACAGTCATTGCATGGTATTTTGTAAATAACATTATTTTGTCTAATTGGGTCAACTGGGTCCTTTAACCTACAGAGCTTGTCCCTGAGTGAGTTTGTAGGTTTAAATGCCACCCTAATTCCTATTTTATTCAGAATCCTACGTAGTGTCTCAGATGTCCCCTCTTTATATGGTATAACTGTGGATGACTTATATTCTTTCTTATTTATGTTATTATTACTAGTTTCACAATTATTTTTGTTTTGTTTTTGGCCTTTAGTGATCTTCCTAATGAATTTTATAGGATAGTTATTCAACACCAACGCTTCTTCTATCTGTTTTAATTCATCATTTAGATCGTTTTTTGTGCTACTTAGTGCCACTGCTCGGTTTGTTAAACATTTAACTAAGCCTGCCTTAACAGTTAAAGGATGAGACGAATTAAAGTCTAAATATCTATTAGAATGCGTTGGTTTTCTATAAACACTAGTGTGTAGTTTGCCTTCTTCTATTCTTTTTATCTTACAATCTAACATAGCTAATTCTCCTTGTTCATTTTCTGATTCAAATGTGAATTTTATTCCTTCAACTTGTGAGTTTATGTGTGTCAAGAAGCTAGAGATGTGTTCTGTTTTTAACACTGTGAAAGTGTCATCCACATATCTCCACCATATTTTCGGAGTAGGGTTAAATGTATTGAGGGCACTATTTTCCCAGCTGTCCATAAATATGTCTGCTACGATAGGGGATATTGGTGATGCCATTGCTACACCTTCTGTTTGTCTATATATTTTGCCTTGGAACTTAAAGATAGTAGATGTGAGGCATAACTGAATCCCTAAAATAATTTCTTCAATGGACAGCTTTGTCCTATGACTGAGTTCCGGATCCGCAGTTAATTCTTTTTTAACTGCTTCTAAGGCCATATTAACTGGTATATTAGTATAAAGACCAGTTATATCAAAACTAACCATTGTTTCATCATTCGCTAGTTGAATGTCATTTAGTTTATTTTTCATCTCATATGAATTAGTTAATCTAGAGTTTGAACGATTTCTAATGGGGCATAGTATTAGAGCTAAGTGTTTTGATAATTCATACGTGGGGGTATTTCTAAAATCTACTATTGGTCTTATGGGGTAACCTGGCTTATGTATTTTTATAGTACCATATATTCTACTAGCATTATTAGTTTTAGGCATTAAATTAAACCATTTAGACTCACCCAGTGATGGCTTCATTCTGCGTATTAGTTCCGCTGTAGATTTCTTAACCTTATTCATTATTGTATCTACAGGCTTCTTAATTTCCTCATATGGACCCGTTTGAATATGTTCAGTAACTTTTTTGATGTAGTCAGATTTATCTAAAACTACGGTGGCGTTTCCTTTGTCAGCTTTTGCGATGACAATGTTTTTATCCTGTTTAAGACTAATTAAAGCTTCCCTTTCCGATTTTGTTAAGTTTGATTTTGTTTTCTTTTGATTTTTTAGGGTTAATGCACATTGTGCTCGAACCTCTTCTGCTGTAGTCTTATCTATTGAGTTTAGTGCTGCTTCTATGTTAGGAATGACGTCCTCTGGTTTTAATTTATTAACTGTTACGTTGAAGTTTAGTCCTTTTTCAAGTACTTTTATCTCATTAGAGTTTAGTTCCCTTGATGAGAGGTTGATCACCCACTTTGTTCTGTCGATAGAGGATGAAGCATTGATATCAGTTTCATTTGTTGTGTTCTTTTCTTCTATTAGTTTGTTGAATTTTTTGATTTGCGTGATTTTTGATTTTCTTAATGCGGATTCTCTAGCTTTGTTGGATGTTTCAATAACAATTATATAATCTTTGTCATTGATCATACATTTGAGTTTGTGTTTGAGTTTTTCAATTTGATTTCGTACATTATTTAGTTTTACAGTAACTCGATGTAATTCTTCTCTTAGACATAATTTACTGACATGTTCTGCGGCTGATGTTATTTTGTTTGAAGTAATTGGAGTACGTAGATGTAAATATTTTGGAATTATATGGCTTTTTAAGCATCGACTGTTAAAAATCCGATGATTTGTAAATCTTGCTTCAGTTTGACTAAGTCGTGTGAGTTTGTTGATAAGCTTCCTAGTAGGAAGACCATATGTATCATTGTCAGCAAAGTCTCATAAACCGTTAATGCCCAGCTCTCGCTACGCTCGGGCCCACGCTGTTCTTAGAAGATTTCTCAGAAACGCTTAGTTATAACGGACGCAAAAACCAAAACACCGATCTGCCGTTTGATATTTGTTTATTGTTACACCAACATATAAAAGGAATAAGCGAACTAAGCAAACTAAGGTCTGTAAACAAATATTACAATAATAAATCGTTATGTTACTTCTGACGATGTTTAACTCTTCTTTCTGAACAGCGACCGATGAGACGATGACTGTCGTATTGATGCCTCCGCGAAAATTGGGGAAGTTGATTTTGAGCAAACAACCAAGAATTGATCGTTCAATCTTCAACTCCATTGACACTCCCCGGCAATAAAGGGATCCAACCCCTTTTTCCTTCACGATCAATGCACGTTGACTTGGATGCCATTGCGAGAACCTGGGTCACACGGACAGAGCTGAAATGGAAAACAAACAGAAAAGCCAACACACCACAAGCATACCCACAGCACAATCTCACACATCAATGACGACCTGCGCCTCCAGATAGAGACCTCCTCTTGACATCTTGCAACACAGTCTCCACTTGCTAGAATGACTCTTGCAGAATGCAAAGTGACCATGGCAGCACCTCACGATACTCTACGCACATCCTGTTATCTACTCATTACCAATTACCACTGCAATCGCTGGTCACTCATTCTGCCTCAGTTCTAATAGCGGTGACGCATGCGAGCCTCAGTCGTTTACACTCTTTCTCCCCGGCGTGTCGGACCGCAGCTAACAATTATCTCCGTGTGCATTTCATTCTCAGCAATAGCCTAGCCTCCCCGGCGTATACGACCCATCTGCTGTCTTTAACATCAATCAATTCATTCACGGATGTAGAAGAGTGGACACAACTTCGAAAGTAATCACGACGAAAATTTTAACAAAATTATGCAATAAAAACAAGATACGAAAACAACGAGTAAACACAATGAATTCAAATAACACCAATTGATATGACACACCACACGTATATACAAACAGTACACACAAACTCGCATTTCATGTCTTGATGGAATACCCTTGAAGAATTGCAGGACTTACACCAGTACGCCTACAACCCTTCACAGGTTGACGATTGTAAGTTGTGGAATGTCCAGACACAAACAAGATTAACCAACAATTACATCAATTGGAACTCACACAACTATTTAACACAAACATATGTACAATCAACACATCAAATGTTGTGGATTCTGACACGGCAAACTACCCTTGAAGAACTGTAGGACTTACAGCAGTACGCCTACATTCCTTCTCAGGTTGATGATCCAAGTGGAAGTCGTCCGGACACAAACAGAATTACCAACAGCTAGATGACAGATGATATCAATTCAGTATACACAATATGAACATATGTACAAGATCATACACCAAGCACATTGGACTGCTCATTGATGCGCTACCCTTTGAAGAACTGTAGGACTTACACCAGTACGCCTACAACCCTTCTCAGGTTGACGCCCTAGGTTGGAAAATCGTCGCAGAGTTCATTTGCTAACTTTCTTCTATCAGCTATATCCTCAAATCTGAACGGCAACACGCCCATGTCATTGTATCGTAGAATATAGATGACCAACAAACACACGACATATCTCATCAACCAAGTATAGAAACAGAGTAATTTACACCAAAGATAATAACATTCAAATAATA